TTTTTAAAAATCCTACAACCTCTGTATTGTCCCTATAAAAGCACAGCCCACGTGCGCTAACACCACGTATGTGCCGTCATCTTTTATGCAAGAGCTTTTCAAGATGGCCGTCTGCCAACTGGGTGACATTGAGCAAAAGGGAAGGTCCACTAAAGTAACGCAGTAGCTGACAACTGTGTTTACGAGAGCAAAACAAAAGAGGAGATGCTATCGGAGGAGGAGCGGAATTTTCTCCGTTTTCGATGACTGATGGAGGGGTGATGGATGGGACCGAGGTGGCAGTCAAATCATGATGCTCTGATGGATGAGAACCAGGCAAACTCAGATAAACACAAAGAATGAGATGACTAAAAGCTCAGGGATTCAGCTCCGCGGCCTTGTTTTATTTGGTTTTCTATTACCGAAATTACAGGCCAAAAGCATCATTTCGCAGATTAGATACCGGCGCTATAAAATTTTCTTGATTTATGTGTGTTCAGACAAAGACAAACGGCATCCCTGAAGGCGGATTACGAAATAGTCATGATTGCTTCAGAATTTATGGAGCTATATTAACATAAAGAGGTGCACTTAATTCTCCTACCATTACTTTAAGTGTAATAAATACACTCTCCAGTGGAATAACATGTAAAAGTTATGTTAAAGTCACTATCATAGACCTTTTAGAAACCATAACTCCTTTTTGTAGCCAGAATACACTTGCAGTTTGTTATTTCAATTCATTTTAAAGGTACAGTGTGTAACTTTTCTGGCGGAAGGTCTGACAAATGCTTTTCTCTGTGGAGATGTTATTGTATTTGTCTGGAATGTTTCACAGTATGTAGAGACCAAACCAGACCAAGTTACAGGTCAGATCTGTGGAGAGGCGACCCCGTTCACAGTCAGAATGCATGAACTGTAGGAAAGGGACGAGATCTCGTGTCACAAGAGGTTGCAAGACAAAATTGCCTCAAGATCATGCACACATGAGGAAAACAATCTTGTGAGATTTTTCCTCCTGAATTTACCTTTGGCTTGGACAAAAAAGTTCAAAAAAGCAATATACAATGACCACTAAAATAGTACATAGTCAATAAAAATTGTGAAATGGATTGCGCTTACTATTATTATTATTATCTTGTGGAAAATTGTGTCTCGTCCCACCCCTAGTGTAGTAGTAGTAGTTGTAGTAGTAGTTGTAGTAGTAGTTGTAGTAGTAGTTGTAGTAGTAGTTGTTGTAGTAGTTGTTGCAGTAGTTGTTGCAGTAGTTGTTGTAGTAGTTGTTGTAGTAGTTGTTGCAGTCGTTGTTGCAGTCGTTGTTGCAGTTGTTGTTGCAGTAGTTGTTGCAGTAGTTGTAGTAGTTGTAGTAGTTGTAGTAGTAGTAGTAGTAGTAGTAGTTGTTGCAGTAGTAGTAGTAGTTGTTGCAGTAGTTGTAGTAGTTGTTGTAGTAGTAGTAGTAGTAGTAGTAGTAGTAGTAGTAGTAGTAGTAGTTGCAGTAGTTGCAGTAGTAGTAGTTGTTGCAGTAGTTGCAGTAGTAGTAGTTGTTGCAGTAGTTGCAGTAGTAGTAGTTGTTGCAGTAGTTGCAGTAGTAGTAGTTGTTGTTTTAGTTGCAGTAGTAGTTGCAGTTGTAGTAGTAGTTGTTGCAGTTGTTGCAGTTGTAGTAGTAGTTGTTGCAGTTGTTGCAGTTGTAGTAGTTGTTGTTGCAGTAGTAGTTGTTGCAGTAGTAGTAGTAGTAGTAGTAGTAGTAGTTTATATTCTTCAGTCATTTCCTTAACTTACCATGTACTTCATAGAGTGTTACAAACATAGATGTGTAATGAACTGTAATATTTGTAAAATCATGATACTTCTCCTCACAATAATCAGTAACAGTACAATCTGATATAGTGAGATCTCTAGTGTTATAAAAATGTATTCACTCAAAGTCATTCTATAAAGTAGCGGTTAGCCACAACTGCCTTGGCACAGGGAAGTGGCTGCCATTCTGTGCCAGTGGCCTCAACCACATTACACACTGTACTGTTATTTTTTAGTAGCTGTCCTTTAAAATCAATCGTACTTGATTTATGATAATGATGTACTATCACTTACAAGAATACTGCAAAGTACAAGTATAGTGCAAAATTATAGTTTACCCAATTATTCAAGTTGAAGATGGAGTTTTTTTTTTGTTTTTTTTAATATTAGTAGTATTAGTATTAGTGTTAGTATTAGTATTAGTAGTATTTTTTATGTCTTTATTTATCAGGTCAAGTTATTAAGTCAAAGCAATGTACAGAAAGAGGTACAGTGGTGGAAAAAGTACACAGTCTTGTCACGTAAATAAAAGTACAGATACTGGATCAAAAGAAAAAAAAGTAATAAGTATGAAATAAAAAATCGTCTTAGGTAAAGTACAAAAATAAGAAAGTACTTAAAGAGTCTGAGATCCAATAAAGCTTCAAACATACTGATTTTGATAGTAGTTGGTATTTTTTCCTTGTCATGTTTTTTTTTTTTTTTTTTTGTATTCTTCCCGGGCTTGTATGGAGAGACAGTTAAGAGAGATGTAATGTTTGGTTCCACATGATTACATCCTATAATAGAAGCATGATACAGTCTTCAGAACATGACCAGAATCTCAATGTTCATCTCCGTGTCACTGCAGTGTACTACATGTACCACGATGTACTGCAGTTCTCAAGAGATCTGACAGGCAGTACGCGCTATTCTTCACTATAGTGTTGTAATTTTCAAGAAAAGTGCAGTAATGGAATTGGATGGAGTAGTTTTAGTGGAGATTCTGATTCCCTGAAAGTTTTATATATGATAATGTAATATCGTATCGTCAGATGTCTCTCATTAATACCATGGGCCATCGCGATATATCAAATTACAAGTTTCTTTGCTTAAATTCATTCTTGTGAAGCAGCAGCAACTAAAAAACAGATAGAACTACATATACCATGATCCTTTACTCTGTTTCAGTCCAATCTACAAGTATCAAAAATCTGATACAAATCGATATTAAAACTAGATCCGGATTTGAGCAGGAATCAATACTAAAAAATGATACAGTTGGGCATATCAAGTTATAAGATTCTTTGCTTAAATTCATTGTTTTGATGCAGCAACAGCTAAAAACAGAGAAAACTACATATACTACATATACCATGATCCTTTGCTCTGTGTAACTTCAGCTTACATGATGAAATAACTTTTTGAAACACTTTTGAATCTTTTGGATTATGACAGAAAAGTAGCATATTGACAATTTTGTTTGCCTTCATAAAATCTTAAAGTAAATATAATTTCAGGAGATTTGAATATAGTTAGTTACATTCCTATTATCCTGGTTCTGGAAGTACATTTCTCAATCATTTTTTCCATTGTCTTTTTGAAAAAAACTAAACAAAAAAAAAAACACAAATATTAAAAGCCTGTGGTGACTAATGAACACTAAACTTATAATTTTATATCAAATCTGTTTCTGAAACTTTATAAACCGCAGAGTTATTAATGTGTTTTTGTTGATTCCTACTGTTGTGATTTTGGGCTTTATCAAAATATAAAGAATTGAAATTGAACTGAAAAATACACACTATGTGCTGGTTAAAGGCTGATCTCATCACATCTCAGAGGCTAAGCAAAACCAGACCTGATTAGTACTTGGATGGGAGACCGCTGAGCAAAAACTTGGAGTGTCCTTAGGCAAGACACTTGACCCACATGGCCTAGTTTGTGTCATGTGCATGAGTGATGGTGGTGGCCTGAGGGGTCGATGGCATAGATTGGCAGCCTCGCGTCAGTCAGTTTCCACCAGGGCAGCTGTGGCTTCAGTAGAAACTTACCACCACCTTGTAAAGCGTCTATGAGTGTCCAGAAAAGCGCTCTATAAAACTGATCACTATTCACATATTGATTGATAAGGATTGATTGATTTGGCCTAATTGAAAATGAATAAATATTGCTTTCTATACACATTCTGCTGAACATAAACACTACATAATTTTTAGGGCTGAACGATTTTCAGAAAAAAAACTGAATTGCGATTTTTCTGGCAGATATTGCGATTTCAATTTCATTCACGATGTTTTTCAAATCAAGTTTCAGTGCACATGAACATGCAAACGTCACAGAAACTTACACCATACCAGAGTTCTGCACTGCTGATTTGCCACTGGACTGTAAAGCCCAGGTCCAGTGGTGAATTACTTTGCGCATAGACCTCGACACAGATCCATAAATCCTTAAATTGAGTTTTAGGAGCACTGCAGAAAACCGCGGCCTTGAGACGCTCCCAAAATCGTGTTGTCTGAGATTGTGATTTTCCATCTAAAACAACAGATCGTTCAGCTGTAATAATTTCAAATCTTTTTTGTTCGTTTTTGTTTGTTTATTTTCAGGTTGACTGTAGACCTCAACTGAAAAAACACTCTAGCTGATCTAGAGTGGAATCTTGCTCTAAAACTCAATTAATAGCACAGCCCTATGCTTAATTGTATATTAGTCTTATTGTGTCAGTGCTAATTGAATTTCCTCCTACATATCAATACACCACATCATCTCTAATAATATGTCCAATGTTACTATGCAACGCTGTATACTTGACTTGCTCTTTCAATCATATGAGCTGGGGAAATGTAAAAACAACCATAAATGTTTACCACCAGCTTGTAGCAGTCGTAGAATACGCAAAGGTGTAATCTCTCGCAAATAAATACCCGAAGACACAAAATTTACATAAAGGTACATTGTGTAACTTTTCTGGTGGAGGGTCCGTCAAATATTTTTCTCCACGGAGATGTTATTGCTTTGTTGGCAATGTTTCACGATATGATATTAAACCTTTGTCCTTTCATGGAGACCAAACCAAGTTACAGTAATTGAATAAATGTAAAGTAGAGCTGTTTAATGTCATACTGTGGAACATTCCAGGCAAAGCAATGACATCTCCATAGAAACAAGCAGGTGATGGACCCCCGTAACGCACTTTTACAGGTAGTCTTGGATACTGAATTGCTTGTACTTTTGTCTTTTAGGTGCGTAAATACCTACTTATGTTGGACGTGAGGAAGGACCATGTGAAGTTCTGGAGACCCCAGGTTCTGCTGATGGTGTCCAACCCTCGGAGCAGCGTGGGTCTGATCACTTTTATCAACGACATCAAGAAGAGCGGCCTTTACGTCCTGGGGCACATCCAACTGGGAGACCTCAGTAAGTCCAAGTACACTGGGAGATCATGTGGGTCGGGCAGTACGGTGATAAAAATGGAATTGTAATCTCATCCATGTGACCATCGGTTTTGTTCATATTGTCAAATTTTGGGTTGAGTCTGGTCAGTCTGTTCCGGATGCCTCCTGGGGGCCTCCCCTCTCCCACTGGGAGGAGGCCCCGGGAAAGACCCAGGACATTCTAGAAGGACTATGTCTCTGGGCTGGCCTGGGAACGCCTGGGGGTCCCCTGGAGGAGCTTGAGGAAGTGTCCAGGGTGAAGGAAGTCTGGGAGTCCCTGCTCAGACTGTTGTCCTGTGATCCGGCCCCCGATAAGTGGAAGAAAATGGATGGACTGATGTTTTATTGAGTTTTTCTTCGATGATTAGACACACTTTTGTCACCACCTCCTCTAACTCCCTCCCTAAGGCTCTGACTGAGTGACAGGTGGAATTACCCAGTCACAGTGAAGTGTGAACTGTCAGAACAAGCAAATTACTTTAACTTTTAAATAACATGTAAAGATACTGATAGTTGATTATTTATTTGTATTTAAAGTGCACTATATATAAATATATATATATATTTAGCTGGCTATTTACTCTGAGTGGACTTGCCTCTCCACAGATCTGACCTGTAACTTGACCCGCTTGTCTCCATGGCGACAGTTTAAAGCCAGACCGTGGAACATTCAGGACAAAGCAGTAACGTAAACATACATGGAATTGCGTTTTGTTTCATTCATACATTTAACACACAAACCCTGCAAATTTAGTCTGAGTTCTTCTCTTCAGCTGAAAACACTCTGTTCCACCTTGTGATGTCATGTGGTAATACAGGAAATGCTCCACTGTGTTTTTAAACTCCAAACACCTTCACTTGAATCATTTGGATTCAAGTGAAGGCGAATCTCTACTAAACTAAAGGTACAAAAGTAGCTGAAAACCACGACTACATGACATCACAAGGTGGAACAGAGCATTTTGAGCTCTGGAAATGTAGACAGATAATAAAACTTGCAATAAAGGATTACTCAAACATTTGTGAATGAAACAAAACACAACTCCAGATATGTTTTTGATATATTTTTTCAGATACAATACACTAAAATTGGCAAATAGACAAGTTCAACAAATCTTACAGGAACTAAAATTATGGTCTGTAGTAAAAGTCAAAATGTCCCTTGAGAGTTTGGGGGGCCACTCACTGGTGTAAACAACACTTTTAACACGCCAGCACTATCAGTTATTTTTCCAGTTCCCTGCAAAACAGTTCCTCTTACAAGAAGTAATTTGTATTCAAAAGTTTTCGCTTTGGTAAAAATGTGGTCAAGCCATTTGTACCTGTATAACCTTCTTACAAATATTCACTTCTGTTTTGTGGTACAGTTTTGTGTTACCTTCCTTTTTGATAAAGTGTTGAAGTTATTTTAATACAAAGTAAAGGACGAAGTAGGGGTCAAAGATGCTCAAAGGATACTGCTAAAACATGGAAAACATTTTATAAAATTGTATGAAGTTATGAATCACTTTTCCAAACAAAACTAGAAATTAAAATACCTCCCTGCCTAAACTCATTTACATTCAGAACCATTTCAATCCTTATTAAAAATGCTTCCACTGCTCTCTGGATATTCTACAGTTATTTATGCTAAAATGCTTTCACAATATTTAATCTTAACAAACAAGTGTGTATAATGCATCTATTAATTATAAGCAAAAATAAACCCAGAGCATTGCTGCTGCTTTGCTTTGAAAGGACAGTTAAACGTATTAAAGGGGAGTGTTAACATTCAGGTGTGAATGGACAAATAACTTGTTGCAATAATTACAAGTACAAGCATTTTTTGTTTTTGTCATCCTTTCAACCATTCAAAATTTTGCTAATAGTTTCAGATAAATTTTTGGGATTCAAAAGATGTGTTTTTAGTACGAAAACAGTTTGATGCTTATAAACAAATACTTTATTTTTAGTCACTAGGTTCATCTTGAAGTGTGCACTGATTTCTACACTGGCAACGAATGTATGTTTTTAGCCATTTAAACCTAACCTTTTCTGTTAGTTTATGTTATTCCTTACACATCTCTACCCTTGATTTTCTCTAAGTCAAGTAACATTAATGTATATGAACCACTACTTCCTCTACTGCCACTGCTACTACATCTTAGAGTTGTCAAAAGTATCAAAAATCAGATACTAATCAATATTAAAACTACTATCAAAACTAGATACTTATTTGAGCAGGTACTGACAATGATCTTGAGCTGTATAAGAACAAGTATAAGAGCACATAGACTAGTATACACCCACAGACCACTATGGAACCTACCTGGACCACTGAGGGATTACACACATATAAAGTCACATGGGAATATAATACAAAGTGCTGTGATTTCATGTTGAAAATCACATTCTATTGTACTACTACAACAATGAAGACTACTACTACTACTTCTTCTCCTACTTCTGCATTCAGACTCTGGCTTTAGGACGTTGGGTTTACATGCAAAGTCGGTGAACGTGCGTCTGGGCCATCTTGTGTTTCCTCTTTCAAGTGTCGTGCGGCGTGAATCTGGTGCTGACATAGCATGTTTGATTGTCGATGCTACAGACAGGTAGCCTGATTCATCAGTCAGTTTCACTTTGTGGAAACCGTCTGACCTCGCAGCATTAGGATTCGTTCCACAGTAGACGGGTAATTTTTTATTTAACTAATCGCTGCTGTTTGGTTGTGAAGTATGTAATGTGCCACTAACCTGACTAACTGGTATATTAAGCTTTTCCCAAATCCCGTAGGAAGAAGGGCAATAACGTCTTTACCCTTAATGAATTTCACCAAACATTCTCTTTGTTCCAACTTTAAATCCCCGATCTCAGGAATCGTTGTCAACACAGAATGTTCTTCGCTGATTGACTGGTGCCCGCACTTCCGATGTTCTTGTAAACCGTCTAGTGTATTCCAATTCCTGACATAGTCGTTGGACAGAAATTAATTTGAGTGGAGGCACTAAGTGGCACCAGCCTGGCTAACAGACAGGCACCAGAGTTGAAAAATCTGACCTTTTGGTGTTTGACCAATCAGGGACTACACTCCAGAGTAGGTTATCCATGCAACAGTGAGGGAGAGCAGGTGATCAAACTGGGCTTGGGACAGACGAAAGCACAGACGAAAGCACAGCTGAAAGCAGTGGTGCATCCAGACGGAGCTCCTGGAGCAAATGATGAAACTTGCAAATTCAGAATGCCTCTGAATTATGTCATGGACTCAGACACGCCGCTGACGGGTTTATGTAATAAATACATTGTCTCTCTCAACCTGCTCTGCCATCGTTCACAAAGAGCCCGGGAAAACAAATCATCCAAACGCACACGCAGAATGCAACGGATGCCCTGGATACGTACGTGTCAATTATTTTTCTCCGACGTGCGCCTGACGTGTCTGCCCTCAAATGCAAAGGCGTCCAGCGGGTTTCCAAAGCCGGGGTCTGAATGCAGCTTTAATGATGCATTTAGGGACCTATTGACAGGATTCAGTTCGCTTTGTATTACTCCTTATCAAAAAACATTACAGTTTAGATGAGGTCACTGACTACTTTCTTTGTCCGTTGGCTTTTATTGACACAAGAAACTGGACTTGCCCTGGATCAGTCCCCCACAGTGAGAATGATTTTGTTCATTACGACTTGAGTGCGCTGTTAATTCAAGCTTGGACTGAGCACTTGGTCCGAACTGAGAAATATGAAGCAGCCATTTGTTTGATTATAATGAGTTTGTTGTTGAGAACTACTTAGACTGCACTTTCTCTCACTGTTTTAATGCAGCATATATGGTGCCTGTGCCAAGTGTTATGACTGGACGAGAAGGTAGAAAATTGCTACATGTAAAGCCACTACAAACACATTCAACAACATTCTAGCACTATGTGATTAGAAACTTTAAAGGCTCACGATATAACTTTTCTTTTCCATTGAGCTGTTATTGCTTTTCTCAGTACATTTAGTCAGTTACAGCACATATCTTAAAAAAAACATATATTCTTAGTGTGAGCAGAGTCGCCTCTCCACAGGCATCACCTGTTTGTCTTTGTGGAGATAGCAAAGTTTAATGCCATATGGAGGAACATTACAGTCAGCGCAATAACAAACGGGTTCCAGATCCTCCAACAGAAAGGTTACATCGTGTAGTTTTAAAATGATTGTTTGACTGAACCATCTGAAATGTATTCATCAAAATCAGGAATTATACTTCAACGTGCATTGTGTAACTTTTCTGGAGGAGGGTCCGTCATACGCTTTTCTCTATGGAGATGTTATTGTTTTGTCTGGAACGTTTGCATGGAGACCAAACCAGGTCAAGTAACAGGTCAGCTCTGTGGAGAGGCAATCCCGCTGACAGTCCAAATGCCTGTTTTTCTACGTATTTTCGGTTACGTTTACACTGAAACGAATCATCGTATCACCGTATCAGAAACGATTTGCCTACAGACACATTGTTTCTGTGACCGCAAGCCTGCCCTGTCCACACAGCTTTGCACATATTTGTTTACGTTTTACAGAAATAAAACTTAAAACCACATGGCTCATTTGCATAAACTAAGCGTTCAACAAAAGAGCTTGCTCCTTGTGCCCTAGCGCGATCAGCTTCTGTCGGATTAAAAAGGACATGACTCAGTAGAATATATGAGTTCTTTCTGTGACAGAGAGATGTTCTGCTAATGGTAAGTCTGTTCTGTGCTTTTATCGCATTGGAGATGGTTCAGGTTAAACTTTTCAGAGATTATACGTCTGCAGGTCATACGCATAGACTTATAGAACTATACTTCGCCCTTTAACGCGAAACCGCTTGAAACACTAGTAAGTTGCAGCAGCCGATTTCAAGTTGAGGAAGATGGCAAGAGTTACAAAAACAGTCTTTTCTTGGGCTGTGTACTAGCAAGTAGTTCTAGCTACGCGGTTTCCCGTTTGTCTATGTTTTCTTTCCGCAATAGCTTCACATGACCGATGTCACGAACCCAGCAAATCAGGAAGGCACAGGTCACAGTGACGTTGTCCAATAAGGACGCGACTAGAGCTCCTACATCAGCGTATCAGCGTTTTCAGGCGTCCACACAGTGCCGGATCAGATCAGTACTCAGAGGAATTCGTGGGAGCTGGCGGCACCAGATCATTCCGTCTCTGGAGCCGTTTTCCATCAGATTAATGTGGACGAACATTACATTCACAACAAAAACAACTCCAATACCGCCCCTAGAGCTATAAAACCAAATGTAATTGAATAAATCTGAGGTAGAACTGTTTAATGTCACACTGTGGAACATTCCAAGCAGAGCAATGACATATCCATAAAAACAAGCAGGCGACGGATCCCCAACTAAAAAGTTACACTTCTAAGGTCCCAAACTGGTTGAAAGGTCTTTGCTACTTATATAATTTTAAGATCCAATGCACTTTCTCTTGGCGTTTTAGTCATTCAGAGAGGCTTTTAGCAGACTGCAGACAGCGCAGCAGCGGTGGAGTTTAGCTCAGAGGGGGTCCTGGGCCTGCAGTGGTCTGTGGACTGCAGTAGACTAGACGGTGGTTTGACTGGAGCCTGTTTATGCATATGTATGTGTTGTGTTTGATTGATCACCTGTCTCCGTGTGTGCGTCTCTTTGGCTGCTTCTCCGTCTTCCGCAATCACACGTATTTGAATCTGACTCAACCGTTCAGAGCCCACGCTTCTCTGTACACCCTCTGAAATCCCTTAAAACGAAACAGCCGCTATTGTCACCAAAAACCCCAACAAAAAACGTAAACGGACGTGATTCTTAATGAGACTACCTGCTTGTCTCCGTGAACATGTTATAGCTTTTCCCTAGAATGTTCATGGTATGACTTTAAACACATCCATCTAGCATTTATTCATTACGGGTGTTTCTATTGTTCAAAAATACAATAATTCCCTCTGTGAATAGGGATGACTCTCCACAGATCTGACTAGTAATATAGCATAGTGCTCTGACCTGCTTCCTCATAATAGATAGGTTAAATTTATACTGTGGAACATTCTAGACAAAGCAATAACATTTGCATGGAGACAAGCAGGTGGCAGACCCTCCACTAGAAATGTTACGCAGTGCACCTTTAACTAAATTCATAATTCTACAAATGTAAATAATTTTACTATTTTGTAACAATAACAAAATAACAATAACCGAAATATCGTGATATCGTATCGTAAAAAGTCTCAGAAATAATATCGTGGGGTGTCACAATATATCGAATCACAAGTTTCTTTGTTTAAATGCATCCCTACTACAATTATATTAGCCCCAAAATATCGCAGTAAATATCGTACTGTGAGACGCATATCGTAAAATTTCTACTATTTTTGGCCTATTGCAGTTGGGTACTACACATGCATTTTGAGCTATGAACCGTGTTAGTCGTATTTCCACTGCTGCTTCCCTCAAAACCAACAATGTTAATTAGGAAAGACTTAGTTGTTTTTCAGACATAAATAGGAGTAGGAAATGCTGAAGTGTGTTTTTGTGGTGTGCAGCCAGTCCTTAGTGGTTAGTGGTTTGGAGAAAAGTTTAGTCGGTCTTGTTTATGTTCTGGGAATGAATATCCAAAGGCATTGAAATCAAATCGAAAATTGCGATCGATCAACATGAGGAAATAAATTGTAATTACATTTTTTGTTATTAAAAAATTGTTGAAAAAAAACATTTTCATTATTTGTCTCCAAAACCAAAATGAAAAAAACAGATAATGATTTGTTTTTCAGATTTCGATTTTGCGTTTAAATTAATAATGGAAAAAAAAACATTTCCGTGACTTAAACTGTGATGCAGGACTGAGTCAGGACTGAACCAGGACTAAACCAGGACTAAACCAGGTCTAAACCAGGTCTAAACCAGGACTGAGACCAGGACCAGACCAGAACTGAGACCAGGACTGAGACCTGGAATAGGACCAGGACTGAGACGGGGACTGAGACCGGGATCAGACTGGGACTGAGACTAGAACTGAGACCGGAACTGAGACCAGGAACAGGATCTGAACTGAGACTGGGACTGAGACCAGTTTAGTCCCAGTTTAGTCTCTGTTTAGTCCTCATTTAGTCCTGGTTTAGTTCTGGTTCAGTCCTGGTTTAGTTCTGGTTTAGTCCTGGTTCAGTCCTGGTTCAGTTCTGGCTCAATCCGGCATCACACTTTAAGTTTTGGAAACGAGAAACGGTCGTTATCCGTTTTTTCCATTTTTCATTAAAACACAAAATTGAAAACTGAAAAAACAAATCTTTATCCGTTTTTTTATTTTGGTTTTGGAGACAAATAATGAAGAAAATTGTGTTTTTTTTTATTTTCTTATTTTTGGTTTCATATTGAAAAACAAATGAACAAATGAAACACAGATTATTATTGATGAGGTAAAGGCATTATAACATGACTTAAAGCTGTAATATAGGACCATTAAAATAATAATAATCTTTGTCAGTACTTCCCACATCTAAATCCATTTACTCATCACCTCCCTCTGTACTGTCCCTCTCTCACAGGTACACTTCCGTCGGACCCTCTTCAGTCTCAGTACGACTCGTGGTTGTCTCTGGTGGACCATCTCAACATCAAAGCCTTCGTCAACTTGACCCTGGCCAATTCTGTGCGACACGGAGTCCAGCATCTCCTCTTCATCTCCGGGCTGGGTCAGTGCCACGGCATCACACTCCAGTCAAATTAATGCCAGTCTGATGTCCGTGTGCCCTTTGAGTTAGACATCGGGTTCTTAGAAATGAGCAGAAACCAACGCAAGAGCAAAAGTAGAGAGAGGATACTGTAATGTGTTTTTATAATCGTATGAATCCGTGGTAAATGCTCGATGTTTAAAGGGCCTGTATTACACAAAACTGACTCTTGGGTAACCTGAAGTTGTGTGTTGTTTCATTCAAATCACACGTTTGCGTAATCCTGCATTATTACTCTGTGTGCGTTCAAAGCTCAAAATGCTCTGATCCACCTTGTGATGTCACGAAGCGATAGTTTTCAGAGATCGGCAAATCCAGGGCTGAAATCATCCAAATGTTTCTAGTGAAGACGTGTGGGGTTTAAAAACGCAATGGAGCACTTCCCGTATTAACATGGCATCACAGCTAAAGGCCGCCACTAGGGATATAACAATAACCGAAATATCGTATCGAAAAAGTTCCCACAGTAATACCGTGGACCATCACAATATATTGAATTACAAGTCTCTTTGCTTAAATTAAGAGTTATGGAAGAACTACATAGACCATGATCCTTTGCTCCATTTCAGTGTTGACTACAAGAAGAAATAACAGTTCTAAGCACTTTTAAGTCTTAGCTCTTTAGATTAAGTCTTGTCAAGGCATTTTAAGAGGAAAAAGTAACATATTAACAGTTTTGTTCACCTCCACAAAATATCCCAATAAATATCGTACCGTGAGATGTATATCGTGAAAATATCATACCGAGAGATTTGGATATAGTTACATCCCCCACCATATTGTGAGCTTTCCCACCATATCGCAATAAATATCGTCCCATGAGGTTCTAGCGTGACAATATCCTATCGTGAGACTTAGGATATCGTTACATCCCTAGCCGCCACACACTACAGGACTTTTCGGTCTTAAATGAGTAAGTTTTTTAAAATTTATTTAAAATTTGATTATTTCATGCACAGAAGGCTGGCGATAAAGAACACAGGAAGCAGAGTCACTATCACTAATCTGCAGCTTCACCTCGATCCGAGCGCTGTGTGGATGTAAACAGACACACGTGAGGAACTACTCTCACCTTTTTACTTTGAAAGAACACTTCAGACTGGATTCATATCAACGTTTTGTGGATTAGATGTCATTATTTGAGGAGGACAAATTCTACGGATAATGTGGATGAGGTGTTGCGGTTTAAATTTACAGCTTTACAAGGGATGAGTAATAATTATTTTCACTGTTTCCTCTGCCCCTTACACTCTGTTTTATTGGCTGTTACTGTAGCGTTGCTGAAGTTTGGTATTTACTATATGAGAGAGCAACTCAGAGTCACACTGACACACACAAGGAGCACAGTGGCTTCAAAATCACACACGAAGACGCAAAGTCGAGTCAAATCGCAAATCGCAGCCTAAATCGGGCAAATTCTCTTGTAGTGTGTGGCAGCCTTTAGTAGAACTTGGTGTTTTCTGTTTGAGAGAAGAACTCGGACTAAATATGCAGCGTTTGTGTTTTAAACATGTGTGAATGAAACAAAACACAACTCCAGGTCTGTTTGTGATGAGGAAACCACATTATAACATAGGTGAGAAAATAGTGTAATACAGGCCCTTTAATAAACACTCAGCAATAGATCTATAGGCTACTCCAGATGAAAATACTTGGATTGGACATTTTATTGACAGTTTTTTAAATTAATTTGAGCTTTTGAGAGATTTCTGTCTGACTCAACAATATTGCCTGAACAAAAGCCAAATTGAAAATCTTATTCGGAGTTGTGTGAGAGTGACAGTTGGTTTGCTTGAAAAAGGTATAACCTGTCTACAATCGTGGTTTCTAGTCATCTGATTTCTGTCAAAAATGTATTCAACAATAACAGCAAGATACAAGTCTCATCCATTCATATAAACTTTTAAAATACATTTCTTTGCATTTGATTGTACCATTTTTGGGTTTTTTCTTGTTCCTTTTTTTTTTTTTTTTTTTTTTTTTTTTGTGCAACATCTCTAGTGAATGTTTTGCCACCTCCTTTTCTCCATGGAGATGTTATTGCTTTGCTCAGAATGTTCCACAGTAAACTTATCTAAATCCACGGAGATAAGCAGGATATAGATAAGCACTCGGCCAAGTTACACGTTATATCTGTGGAGAGGATCACCTGCTCACACTAAGAGTGCAGGATTGTGAAGGTAGTTTTGAAAACATTTACTCATCAAAAACATACCTGGAGTTGAGTTTTGTTTCATTCACACATATTTAAGTAATCCTGGATTAATAGGTTGTTTATATCTCCATTTCAAAACACTCTGTTCCACCTTGTGATGTCATGAAGTGATAGTTTTCAAGTTAACAGCTACCTTTAACCTTTTGTTCAGTAGAGACTGGCAATTCTAGGGCTGAGATTATCCGAACGATTCTAGAGAAGGTGTATGGAGTTTAAAAACACAGTGACGGACTTCCTGTATTACCACATGACATCACAAGGTGGAACAGTGTGTTTTCGGTTTGAAAAAAGACTAAATATGCAGCGTTTGTTTGTTAAACATGTGTGAATGAAACAAAACAACTCCATGAATGTTTCTGATGTGGAAACAACATTATAACATGGGCCCTTTAATGCCATACTGTGGGACATTCCAGATGTGGGGACTTACAAGTCTTGATTTGGACTCGAGTCAGACTTTGGTCACTATTTTTAGGACTTGAGACTTGACTTGATAAAATGGGCTAAGACTAAGAATGGCCCTAAAAATATATTTTTAAAAACTACTACTCTTTACAGTTGATACATGTGGTGCTTAATTTTAAAGGAACCTGCCCCCCCAGTAACTGAAGTACTGTGATATGGTATCCTCAAATGTACTACAGTAATACACAGTACAATACAGAAGCAGCTACATATAACATGATCCTTCATGACAAAATAACTGTTATTTACGACTTTTAAATCTGAATTCTTTCTATTCTGACCATCATGATTCACACTAAGACAATTAAAAAGGAAAAAATAGCATTTTTACAACTCTTATATAAATACACATTTATAAATATACCATGACTTTTTAAGTACAGTTTAGTTTAAAAGGCATATAAATTCAAAAAAAATAAAAATAAAGCTATATTTGGTGCTTTGGTTTAAAGACTTGAAATAACTTAAAGCTCAATGCAGACGACTTGGACTTGACTTGGACTTATGGGCCAGTGACTCAAGACTCAACTTGGACTTACCTGTATTTGACTTGGGACTTGAGGTCAAAAGGCTTGAGACTTATTTGAGACTTGCAATACAACGACTTGGTTCCACCTTTGGGACATTCTGTGCAAAGTAATAACCTCTCCATGATAGACAAACCACCAGAAAGGTTACACAGTGCTCCTTTACTAATTTCTTCTTTTATTGCATCATACTTATCACTATATTTCTCTCTTATGTTTCAGGTGGGATGCGTCCAAACACATTAGTCCTCGGCTTCTATGACGACTGCAGTCCTCGGGACACGCTGATCGACCCTGTGCTGGCCTGCAGTCAGTCCATAGACCTGTCCAGCCACTCCCAGGACGCCGAACGCACCTCACCCCCCTTCCACTTCGCCTCTCTGCGGGACCCAGGCAACAAAGACGGCCCCACCGCGGACGGCAAGGTCCTCCATCCACAGGAGTACGTCGCTATCATCGCCGACGCCATGAAGATGTCCAAGAACGTCATATTAGCTCGGTATTTTAACAATTTTGACCGGGCCGAAGCGTTGTCACCGCAGTCTTTCTCTCAGTTCAAAAGCGCAGTTTTTATCGATGTATGGCCCGTGAACTTGCTCCGCCCGGACAGCTGCAGCTACGTGGACACCTGCTCTCTCTTCTTATTACAACTAGCCTGCATTTTGAACATGGTCCGAGCCTGGCGCAAAGCTAGCATCCGCCTTTTCCTGTGCGTGGAGGAGGGCAGGAGCGTGCAGGGGGCCGAGCAGAAGCTGGGCCACTTGCTGAAGGAGTTGAGGATTAAAGCGCAAGTCTACCCCGTGCCGTGGGACCAGCAGGTGGCGCTACACTGGCAGCGTCAAGGTGATTTCAAGTCGGCGGAATCGTCCGAAAGCACCAAGCAGGAAGAAGAAGAGGAGGATTACGCCAACAGTTTCCCGAGCAACACGTCGCATCTTTCGGATGAGTACCTAACCGCGGTGAATAAGCTCATTCTAGACCAGGCCATACCACCCGCCGCGGTCCGCTTCCTGTACCTGCCCCGCCCGCCTGCCGACACGCGCCGCTACGCTCCGTATTTACACCAGCTGGAGCTCCTCACCAAAGATCTGGGACCGACGCTGTTAATTCACGGAGTCACGCCCGTCATCACCACGGATCTCTGAAAGTGACTGAATTCTACTTCGGACAATCGGTGACGTGTGCAAAAACATGCTGAGATTGGTGACTACATGAATGACTCCACGTGACCAAATATGTTGGACTATTTATAGATTATTTAAAGCATCAAGTATAATCTGCACATGGTTTGTAAATGGGAATGCAGTGGAAAAGTTATGTGTAGTAGTTCAATTTTTAGAGAAATTCTGTGTATTTTTCTGTGAGTTTTTAGCGTCTGAGGCCTGTATAGCAACTCATCTGCCTCTTTTTTTGTTGGTTAAGAGGAGTGCTTGGCCTTTCTTTCAGACAATCATCTCTATGGACCAAAATAACTTGTATATAGATTATTTAGCCTCTATTACTAATGGGTAACAGTTACTATTACTACACTATTCAGAGCCTTTGAAGAAAGACTAAATTCTTAAAGGACAAAAATCATGTTAAGAATTCAGGCTTAGTAATTTTCCAGTTAAAGGACCCATATTACACTATTTATATATTTACAATCTTTCCTGCAGCACTTTATAGTTAAGGACTTGACAAAAAGTGGACCCCGTCTTGACTATGTCCCTCTGAACCACATGAATCCTCGCAAAACTACAGTCGTTGCCCGGGATCTCTGTGCACCCTCTCTCCTCACTTCTTCTTCGTGCACAGAATCCCCGCTCCTCACTTCTTCTCCCACAGAATCTCCACGCACCCCCGCTCCTCACTTCTTCTCCGTGCACAGAATCCCCGCTCCTCACTTCTTCTCCCACAGAATCTCCACGCACCCCCGCTCCTCACTTCTTCTCCGTGGACGGAATCTTCGCTCTTCACCTCACTTATTGTCCACACACGGAATCTCCACACACCCCTGCTCCTCACTTCTTCTCTCTGCACAGAATCTCTGCTTCTCACTTCTCCGTGCACAGAATCCCCGCACCTCACTTCTTCTCCATGCACAGAATCTCCATGCACATCACTTTTTCGGCAGCACTTCCTTGCCTAATTTCCTGTGGGAGACACTGTATTTTCTGACATATGTTATAACATTTAAAACATTTAGGCTGAGTTTTTGTCTCAAACAGAAAACACTTTCTGATGCCGTGTATTACCACATGACATCGCAAGTGCTCCATTACGTTTTTAAACTCCATACAACAAGGAGTATTGTTTAGAGTATTAAGTACTTACTAAGCCTGAATCCTTCTTGATAAATGATGTCTTCAAAGTACTTTTCTCAAGCTTTATTATGACTAATTGGTATAATTAATGTACTGTTGTCAACATTTTGGCTGATTTGATTTAAAAATGTTACTTTTGAGCTCACGATCATTCTATATTATGTTAAATCTAAGTCATTTATACCGTAAATTACCTGCGAGTCATGACTGTAATGACATCTGCTCAAAATTGAACTACTGAAATGCATGAACTTTTCCACATAATTCTAATTCATGAACTTGTGCCTTTATGAGTTATGTACTATTAGCCTTTTATTGTATGTTTTTACCTTAGTATTATTCCAATTCAGTATCTACCTGCAGCATTCCTTCAACATTTTAACACCGAAAATTGCCACAAAACGCACAAAAATCTACCGATATCAAGTATTAAGGTTTATATATCTTTACTCTGTCCTCCTGTGTGAACCATTACGATGTACAAAATAGTGTTCTTTTCACTCACTTTTATTCAGTCTTACAATACTCAGCAGTTATGAGTCACGGAGCTCCGCAGTGCCAAATTACCTGCCCGTTTTTGTCCCTCTCTAATTCTCTTCCCCCCCTCAAAGGCAAATTTGAGATATAGTCCATTGTTCCGTGAGTTTTCTTTTCTTTTTCCGCACGCTACCGAGGCTCAATTTCCTTAAAATGATCATTCCATATGCCTTTAGATCCCAAAAGTGCCTAGTTACAGCTGAAGCCTGGCAGCGGTCCATCACTGACTGAGTTTGAGGCGGTCATTTTGAGGAAGTCTGCGCTTTTCATTTGGCTGCAGAGGTACGGTTTGAAGCAAAAACGAAATAACTGAATATTTATAGTGACGACGGTGCTTCTATGGAAACCTTTGTTCCACAACTCTTTTTTACGGCAGACCTCAGGACTTTCCAAATGCACTTTTTTTTATCCAAATCTTATTTTTGCCAAACTGCAGACGGAGCAGCTTTTAAACAGTAACTTAATGTTTACAGCAGCATCTTCACTGTGATTATGAAAGGGCCCGTGCTGCGCTGTTTTCTGATCTCTTTTATAATGTTTCGTTATTAAAAACAGACCCGGAGTTGCGTTTTGTTTCGATCAGACGTTCTTTTGTCAAACGGAAAACACGTTGTTCCACTTTGTCATGTGGTCATACAGGAAGAGTTTCATCTTCACTGGAAACATCTGGATCATTTCAGCCCTGGAATTGCCAATCTCTACTGAACTAAAGGTAAAAAGGTAGCTGATAAATTGAAAACTTTACAAGGTGGAACTGAGCATTTTGAGCTTTGGAGATGTAGGTCCAGGATGACTTAAACATGTGGGAATGAAACTAAACACAACTCCGGGTATGTTTTTGAGGAGGAAACTGCACATGGTTTAAAGCTCACAAGCGGCACAAGGACCTTTAACCTTTTAAGATGTTTTTAGATATTACATTTTGGATTTATAGCCTACAATATTTCAAGTTCGATTATGTTTTATTAGTGCTAAAGTGCTGATCTTCCAGGTAGCTTCAGTGCTTCATGTCTTAATCGGTAAATAATTTCCTTCTTTTAACTTTTCTAATCACGCGGAGAGAAATATTTTACTCATTTAATCCAGATTTAATTTTTTTTTTTTATGATTTACTACCTTAACGTCTTAAACACAATCCACATATGTTCAAATCAAAACACTGGTGCACTTATAAACACTTTTTTCAGTTCGATCTATGAACCGATACAGAAATTTATCATCTTTTTTTTTCATTTTTGGCTTGCAGAAGTTAATCACAGACACTTAAAAAGCACAGGTCGGTGGTGAAGTTTTGAATGTGAAATGGGGAAACACGAAGTTGGATATTTTAAAGCTGCACTATGTAACTTTTCTGGTGGAGGGTCTGCCACCTGCTGTCTCCATGGGTGTGTTATTGTTCTGCGTAGAATGTTCCACGGCAATTTAATTTTGACTGTTTTTAATGCTGATTGCGGTGAGCACGGGCACCTTTCCACAGATCTGACTTGTAGAAACTTGGCTTGGTAGTGCCATTGGCTTGTCTCCATGGCGACAGATAGGCCTGATAATTACAATATCGACTTATCGTTCAGTATATGAAAAACAAATTACTTAAAGGTGTACTGCGTAACTTTTCAGGTTGGAAGTCCACCAGTTAGTCACTTGTTTCCATGGAGATGCTATTGCTTTGCCTGTTTAGGTTCCACAATATGGTTTTAAACTTATATAAGATGCATTTATTCAATTATGAGTGTTTTTATTGCTGAAAATTACGGAAGCCGAGAGGGGTCACAACAAACGCAAACGCCACAACAAATGCAAATGCGACAACACAACAAAAAGCCACAACAAACCAAAAAAAGCCACAGTGGAAATGACCGCGGGACTCTATTTTAATGCAAACGCCGCAACAAATGCAAACGCCACAACACAAACGCAAATGCAGCAACACATTAAAAAGCCACAACGGGAGTGACCGCGGGACTCTATTTTCCGACGGACCGATCAAGCGGCAAGTGAAGAAGAAGAACTACAACGTGAAACGAATAATGATAAAACAATAAATTACTTTTACTTACGTTTCCAACTTCTCCCTTCTTTTATTTTTCACATTGTAATTCTTCTTCACTTGTCGCTTGATCGGTCCGTCGGAAAATAGAGTCCCGCGGTCATTTCCGTTGTGGCTTTTTTTGGTGTGTTGTGGCTTTTTGCTGTGTTGTCGCATTTGTATTTGTTGCGGCGTTTGCGTTTGTTGTGACCCCTCTCGGCTTCCTTAGAAAATACCTTGAAAAACCTGCCTTGTGACTGTGAGTGAGGTCACCTTTTCACAGATCTCACCTATAAATTGTCCTGGTAGCATTTCCTTCTTCTTTCTATAAGGACTGAAAAGTTTAATGCCATTCTTTGGACTTTTGGCGGTTAAGCAGTAACATCTCCATGAAGACAAGTATCTGGCGGTACCTCTACCAGAAAAGTTACAGAGTACACCTTTAAGTACTGCATTCCAGCTCAACAATACTCAACTATTATTTTTGTGTGTGAATATTTCTGCTTTACGGTTTGGTTACAGTATTATCAACAAAGATAGATACATTTAATGCCATACTTTGGAACTTTCTAGACAAGCAGTCACATCTTCATGGACACAAGTGAGTTAGTGAAACAAGGGTACTTATTTTTATTTTATTTTATTTTTTGCCGGATTTGATTGAATCTTTACGGCTTTGAAGTTTTTCCTCTTTATGAAGAATCTGGTGTTTTAACAGAGACCAAACTGCACTGTGAAGCGTCAATGCATTTTCTGTTTTGACACACTTTTGAAGGACATTACGTGCAGCACTATGTAATTTAAGTCTGTGGCTGTTTCTGATTTTGATTATTATATTTATAACATTAAAAAGTACTCAGTACATTCTGACAACCTCTGTAAAACTGACTGAATTGTAAACTTTTTTAATAGTTTTGTCTCTTCTTGTCTGGATCACTCCATCACACTATAGACTTTTAATATTTGTATGGGATTATATGTAGTTTTCATGTTTATACGATTGCATTTTGAGCTTCAGCCATGAGCAAAATTTGACATTTCTTATAATCTTTTTATTTTTATTTTTTTTTGAGTAGGCTCGAACTCCCAATAGATGCATCAAGAATTTCAGACTTCCGGTCATCACGCAGTGCATACTGGGAAGGATTTTCCAAAAAAGTGAGCATCAAACCGCCATGTTTGATTTCCCAGTGGGATACGTCTATTGACAAAGCCGATCTTTTCGCTTTTGTGTCTGGTTCTGATTTTGTCATATTTTAGTTTTGGGATTCGGACATCATAATTGTGTGGTTGTTGGATCCTAACACCGGAAAACGACTTGAGAAATTTGTTTGTGAACTCCATAAATGCAAAAGGAATCAGATGTGTGTGACTCAAACCTCCGTTCAAACTGTTTCCCTTCCCAACGGAATTGAAAAATAGTGAAAGGTGAAGGCGATGGGCAGTAGTGATCCACAGGAACGACGAAAAAAGAAACCTTTGACTGCCTAAATCATCCCGAGTTTGCAGCGAACTTTTTGTATGTGGAGCGCCAACAAACAGGATCCTGATCCCTCTCTCCACCTTGGATACGAATTTAAAAAGTCAACGCCAAAGCGAAAGGCACCAGCTTTTCGCCAAGAAACACCTTTCCGCTGCAAAGAGACCAAGACTTAATGTTGCTGTAAAACTACAAGAACAAGAAAGTGCGAGCTCAGTCTGTTTGTCTTCTGCACTTCTCGCTTAACAAACGGGATCCAGCTTTGATGTCGCTCCACATACAAAATGTTCGCTGCAAACTCTGGATGATTTAGGCAGTCAAAGGTTTCCTTTATCGTCCTTCTCCGTGGATCAATCCTGCCCATCGTCTTTGCCTTTCAGTATTTTTCTATTCCGTTGGGAAGGGAAACAGTTTGAACAGAGGTTTGCAGTCACACACATCTGATTCCCTTCTGCATTTATGGAGTTGACAAACTAATTTGTCGAGCCGTTTTCCACTGTTAGGATCCAACAACCACACAATTATGATGTCCAAATCCCAAAACTAAAATATGACAACATCAGAACCAGAAACAAGTGATATGGTTCAAAAGTCTAGAAAAGATCGACTTTGACAATAGACGCATCCCACTGGGAAAACAAACATGGAGGTTTGATGCTCACTTTTTTGGAAAATCTTTCCCAGTATGCACTTGCGCAATGACCGGAAGTCCAAAATTCTTGACGCATTTATATACCTGATATAATTACTCTCTACTCCCCCTAGTGGTGCTAAATAAAATAAAACTCAAAAGCGGTTATAGATTTCTTATGCTCTGTTTTGCGATATTGAATCAGCACAAAATAATGTAACAAAAGAAACAAAAGTTACACTCACTTGTGGCATGATTTCAATTTATTTAAATCTGATTCTGCTCAACATCTGGCCTGTTTTTGTCAATTAAAAACTGAACTTCGAAATCCCAACATATAAAAGTACAAATAACTTTCAACACTACATGTAATCCCTTTTAGATTTTGTTGCAGTCTCCAAAATATTCACAGTCTGAGATGTAACCTGCGAAAATAAACTTCTAAACAAAGTCTTTTTACTTCTGAGATTGTTTGTGTGCGAGCGACAGTACTATTGAGATGTTTTCCCGGGCCTGATCAAAGCTAGCAGCCGTCCGGACTTCCCACCTCTTTGCTCCGGCGGTGGGGCAGTTAGCGGCTTTGAGGGGTTCTGTCACCTGGACCTGTTTGTTTGGGGTAAACTTTGGAAATAGGAGCTCAGATCAGTGCAGAACTCAGACCGAGAGATACAGGGGGTCTGCCAGGAGCCAAATTACCTTGTCCTACTGCAGAAATGGATTCCATCTCTGCTCCGAGGTGAACAACAGATTGGTGGAATAAGCCCAAATAACCATCGGTATGTGACGCGGCGGAGGCAGGCTGGCATTTATCACCGAGGAGAGGATCCAGTGCGGAGAAAAGTTATCAGGCTGTTGTCTTGTGTTTCTATAGCAGATAAATAAGGCATTTTTTACAGCTCCACTACTGGTTTCAAAAGCGAGCTACTAAACGCTATTGAAATGTCTTACTTCTTCAGACTATTTGAGACAGACAGTGAAAGTATTTTAATCATTTTGCTAGAAGTGGGTGGTATTTACAATTGTAGTGTTTGAAGAAGGAAAAACAGTAAAGTAGAGTATAGATTTTAGAGGGATTGTGCAGATGTCAACATGATGTACACATAAGTATACTTTTACATTAAAGATCGTATATTACTGTATTTTCCGGGTGATTAGACGCGCTCTTAAGCCTCTAACCGCAATCCAGAGCGCCCTATACACAAATCCACTCGGGTGTCCCAGCACGACTTCAGTAAACTACAAAGCCGCACCACCCGCAGAACACACAAACACACACGGAGCAGACAGAGACCAATCATCACTCCACACCGACGAGGAACGGAACGGAGGAACGAACCGAAAAAGCCCAATGTGCCAATCTGAGTCACAACTGAACAACCGAGTCACTGCGAACACGCCGACAATCCGTTGGTCCCAGACAGCACCTCCCTACACGCCACAACTGAACAAAGCCCAGAGTCACCGTGAACGCACCAAACAAAGTCCAACTGACTCATCCAACTGTTGTGTTTCGTTTAAAGTCCGGTGCGGTTTATTTGTGAAAAAAGTTCGAAAATAGACCATTTAATGACAGTGCGTCTTGTGAGCTTGTTAAAATGTTGTCACCACCTCAAAACATACCTAGAGTTGTGTTTTCGTTCATTTACACATGTTTGAGTAATCCTGCATTATTACCGTATTTTCTGCACTACAGGGCGCACTGGATTATAAGGCGCACTGTCATTAGAATGGTCTATTTTCGAACTTTTTTCACAAATAAACCGCACCGGACTGTAAACAAAACAACAGTTTGGATGGGTCAGTGGGACTTTGTTTGTGGCGTTCACGGTGACTCCGGGCTTTGTTCAGTTGTGGCGTGTAGGGAGGGTGCTGTCTGGGACCAACGGATTGTCGGCGTGTTCGCAGTGACTCAGTTGTGTCTAGAAGTGGCACATTGCACTTGCTTTTTCTGTTTGTTTTAACTGTTCAAAACACAATCAAACGAACAACTTCCTCGGCGCATCACCCCGTCTCTCCCCGCGCATGTCTCCTGCAAAAAGAGTCTCTGTCTTGTCTGTATCATGTCAGTGTTTTGGAGGATTTCAGCAGATTTCAGACTCTCTCGGGGGCGGGGTTAGTTCTAGCAATCAGGTATGAGTGGATGTCCAACTACTGAAGTTTGAGACGTTTCTTCTCATCATTTACACATACTGGTAAGAACATATACCCCTCACTAATGTTCACTTAGCATCATAACTTATTTTAATCACACTCCGATAAACTATTTGATTGCGCTGACAATGTAGTAAATATTAGTGTGGCAGCTTCATGTTAACCCTAGATCCATGTGTAACTGCACAGACGGCGGTGTTTTCTACACTCAGGCTGCGTGTATCCTCTGTTTTGCCAAACCATAGACGTATATATATGAATGGACAATTGCCAAACAAAGAATCCGTCCATATATAACCACATTGTTTTATGATCCGCAGGGTTCAAAGTGTGAGAAAAAAGTAAAAGAGAAAAAATTACTGTACTTTTACCTTTAGTTTAAAACAAAACACAACTCCAGGTATGTTTTTGATGAGGAAACAACATTATAACAGATAAGACAATAGCTTTAAATAGTGTATGTATCCAGTGCTCTTACAGTTTTTTAAAAAAGGTACTATAACATAAACAACTAAGGGATCATGTAAAATGTTTTTGTAACTATAAATCAGCATTAGAATTGTTATCAGTGAACGCTATTTTTGATTTGAACATGTTTATCGTGTATTTGGGGACACAGTTAGGTCATGTTTATAGAATTTAAAATCAATATGAGAGGCGACTGGTTCATAATGGGCGATGGGGCACTGCCTTGTACAGTTTAACATAAAAATCTGAGATAGTTCGGCAATCAGTCTTTAAATAGTACACAAACTTTGACTACAAATAACATAAATCACAAGAAAATATATCCTAATCTGACTGTGCTGCATGGTGCGATCTCAAAACATTCAGAGTCTGAGAGAAAGCTGACCAATCAGACTGTGGCGTATGTACATTTAAAGTATTTCAGCGGCGTGTGGGAGGACGCTCCAGCTCTACAGCCCATAACCATGGATCTATAATAATAACATTTTCTATTATTTTATTATCGTCTATATAGATTTTATTATAGTTCTATGCCCATAACCCAAACCCCACAGTGACTGTATTATCGAGCCGCCCTGTCGAAATGAGCTCCCAGCAGTTTAAATCAGCAGTGACGTCTATTGATTCACGCTACCCCCGTCGAAATAAGCTACCTCACGTTTTTCTGTTTACAGTTGTGTAGATCGAATAAAGTCAAAACTCCTCAGTTTGACAACATATTTCTTTAGATTAGAGACCGCGGGTTTGATGCTGTCTGCACACGATGATCATAATTTATACCTTAGTTATGTACAATTTCAACTCATTTATATGAATATTTGTAGGTAGTTCATTTCGACAGTCGTTAAAATAGGGCTCCGACTAAAGGGAGCACATATCGACAGGCCAATTTAACCATCAAATAATGCTCCTCCTGTAGAATCACCATTATTCACTCATTTAGATGAATCTGGGTAGAGGGAGCTCATTTCGACAGGCCGATATCTTCTAACAAATAAGGCTCTGACTAAAGGTAGCATATTCTGACAGCCCACTTGAGCATTAAATAATTATGCTCCCACTGTAGAATCACCATTATTTATTATTTATATGAATATGAATCTTGACTAAATCTTCTCCCATATAAGTCATCCACTAGAGGGCGCACACCTCAC